ACATTGGGAATTACATTGGAAACAAAAGTAGCAATTAAAAAGATGAAAGAAGTCGAACACAATGAAGAGTCAATGGAAGAATTTAAAAAGGAGGTTGAGATGTTAGACAAATTCAGAAGTGAATTTGTCGTTCACTTCTATGGCGCTGTTTTTGCACGTAATAAAGTGTGTATGGTCACGGAATTTGCGACATATGGAAGTCTTCAAGACTTAATGAAACACAAAACTTCGAATGAAATTGACATGAAGTTAAGAGTGAAAATTTGTCTTGATGCTGCTAAAGGTGTATTTACACGAGAATGGGATACTACACAGAGACATCAAACCAGACAACATTTTAGTCTTTTCATTGGAGACTATCGAAAAGGTTAATGCTAAATTGACTGATTTTGGAAGTAGTAGAAACGTCAACTTGTTGATGACTAACATGACATTCACCAAAGGTATTGGAACACCAACTTATATGGCACCCGAGGTTTTGAAAAAAGAAAAGTATAAAATGAGTGCAGACATTTATTCATTTGGAGTAACAATATACGAGTGTGTTGGGTGGTGTGAGGCGTACCCAAAAGATGAATTTAAATTCCATGGAAAATAGCCGAGTTCGTTATTTCTGGAAAGCATGTGAACAAAAATCCATCAATGAGTGATAACATTTTCAACATCATTTCTGAATGTTGGAAACAAGATATGAACAGTCGTCCAAAAATAGAAGACGTTGTTCACACTTTAGAAGTGTGTTAAACATCAATTACAATTTATTTTTCATAAATAATAATTTACTATTTAAACATAAAATGAGTAAAAGTAGTTGCTATACTTTTAAATGCAAAGTGTAACATAAAAATTTTAATAATTATAATTATAATATTTCTCTTTTATTGTGTTTTTATGTTAAAAATGATAGGAGGGTATTTAAACATTATTGTGGTATATTCTGATCATCCATTATTTTGAATTGGTTTGCATTTTATTGATAACAAGTTGTTTTTATTCAGGTTTTTTATATCAAAAAATACAAAAAGTTAAACACAAATTGTATTAAAATTTAATTAATTAATTAATTAATTAATAATAATTTTAAAATGATAATTATTTTTTTTGAAATTTAACAAAATATAATTATTAACATTCAAATGTCAAACCTAAAATATGATGGTTCAAAGACTGAATTAATTTACTAAGATGTTTTTCTTTTAATGGACAATTACCATTGCGAGCGCCTTTAAGCATTCGACTTGATGATGACTATGATGTATGCTTTTTTGGTTTCATTGATATGCGAATAATCCGCTTGTTAAATTTAGGCAATTGCCATTGTGTAACAACACCAACAGAACCCTTGGTTCATTATCCTCTTGATGCATAGTATTTACTACCATTCCATGGTATTCATGTATTTATTAAAATGTGAAGTCTGTTAATATTTTTTTGGTCTTAGCCAAATAGAAGTTGGTATATTTAGAAACCAGTCTTCAGTCATTTGATAACCATCATATGATACGCTGTCCAAAGTGAGTTACATTTGTATAGGAACAAACAGTGCATCTTTTTGTAATTGTTAGATCATATAAAAAATATGTTTAAATATTGGTTTGTGTTTTTTATTTTTGTTATTCCAGTAAAATAGAATATACTTTGAATTGACTTGGTATAAAACTGGTGAGCGTACCGATATAATGGGCGTACTCTTTTATTGGGCGTACTCGTTATATAAAAAGTAATAATGATTATTTTACACAAATTATTTAACATTAATATATTACATTATTTAACTTTTATTATAATTTATCGAATATACAATCTATTATTAATAATATCCTTTGATTCAAACAAATGTGTTACATTTATTTGACATACTTGTTGTATTATTAATTATTAATTGTCATATTTTACAAATAAATTTAAATTTTGTTTAAGTATAAAAAGACAAATTTATTTTTTTAATATTTGAATGAAAATATGAGTTTTAAATAATAATAATCAACACATTAAAAATCAATTTAAGGATATCAAAAAAATATTGACATATTTATAATAATGAATTTATAACATTAAAAAAATATTAAA